GGGGCTTGGAGCAACCTGGGCTGGTGGGAGGTGTCCCTGCCCAGGGCAGGGGGGCTGGAACTCAATGATCTTTAAGGTCCCTTCCAACCCAAACCATTCCATGGTTCTAAAAGGAACAGCAAAAGGATCTGGCACATGAACAGATGCTCCGATCAACCCTTTGGAAAGCTGTGCCATGACAATGGGTACCTCCAGATACAGAAATTCACACCAAGCACACAGTATGCTTTTCCTTGGAGTAATGTCCCAGATAATGCCATTTTTAATCTTTCTTCTATTTAATCAATTAAAAAAGAAAAAGAAAAGAAAAAATTATATTGCTATTTCACTTTTCTGTTTCGCTTGTTAGCCTGCGAACCAAAGAGACTGTGTCCTTTCGACACCACATTCTGTATTTTGGTTTTAATGTCCATGACAAACCTAGGCCTCAGTTTCAGGGACTTGAGAGAACGTGACAGCGCCTCAGCTGGAGCACAAGGCTTACCTTTCAACAGCTTCTCATCTTTTACCACATGACTCACAAAGCATTTCTGGAAATCAAGATTCCCTCTTAAATGTCTCTCCAAAATAAGGACCTGGAAACAAGCTGTGGAAATGGGAGCTCCAGATGAAGGCTATTGGCTATTAGAAGCTGTGCTCTCCAGGGAAACCCTGGACAAAGAGGACACCACAAACATCTGCAGGTTCTGGGACATTGCTATGAGACACAAAATTACTCTATTTCCTAATGAGTAAGTTTCTGGAACCTCTCAATGAGGCTAACAATCCCATTTCTGTCCTTCAGCATGGCTACCAGACCATGACAGAAGTGGGATGCAGAGCCAGAAAGTCCTTGGTCTCACATGAAGCAACCAGGCTTACATTCAGAAGTTGGGACATCCCTTGAGAGGGGATCTCTGTGCTCCTCAGATACACCTTGGAAATCCCACACAGCAGTGACTGGGCTGGCAGAAAGGTACTGAAGGCATCCCTGCACCATATAGCATGGATGAGATGGACCCATAGAGGTAAACAGAGGCTCTTGAAAGCTTAAAGATAAAATTAACATGAACAGGACCACAAACAAAAATATTTCTATTAACTAAATGCCACAGGGCTCGTTTCTACAACAAAAGGAGATATTGCTTCCAAGCAACCTTCTATCTCCTTTTGTTGTAGAAACAAGCCCTGTGGCACTTAGTGCTGCTTTGCAGGATTAAAAAACCACCAGTAAGACAACAGATCTCACTCGTGGCAGGGAAGGAGGCTGAAGGGATTTGCATCAGCCAGCAATATGTATTTAAAATGACCCCAGTGCAAACAGGTCCCAGAGATCACATCATCTTGTGTGCAGCAGTGTGGGAAAGCACGTCGTGCCACCTCCATCACAAGGGCAACAGCCGGCCAGAAAATAATTTCCAGAGCTAGATGGGTTGGGATTTATTTCCTACACAGGGGAAAAGAAAAAAAAAATAAAATATAAAAAGGTGAATCTATCCTAGGCAAGAGGCCTCTTGTGGGCCACCACGCACAGGCTGGCAGCTCTAGAAGGAGCCAACAGAAGATGGGAGAAGGAGCTGCAAGTCTGCTACGAGAGCCCTGGCAAGAGTGCAATGACTTTGGCTTGAGCCAAAGTAATTTAACCCTCCATCCAGAAGTAAATCCAGACACAGTGACAGTCCAATTACTGAAACAACATCAATGTATTCTTTTAATGCCCAGCTCCCTTCAGTACCTGTTAATCAAGCAGGCATTAGCGTGTCTGGATGACAGACCACATTTGCTCTGAAACTGCAGTCACTGATGATGGAAAAGCTCTTTCTCTCTTTCCTTCGCCTGCTCTGCAAGTCCAAAAGCAAAATCCTCTTTGGTTAGGAAAGAGATGTCTTTGCTCTCCTATGACATTTGAAGGACTCGGGGGAAATCCCATTGGCATTTTGCTTTATCCCATATTTTGCTCATCTTTCTACCTCTGCCCCAAAACACAGGGAACGGCTGAAGCAGCCAAAACGGTGGGGTCTCCTCAAGGCCACTCGGCTCTCGTTGCTTTTAATAGAAGGCTGACTTTCTGAAGCAGTTAAATGCTATTTTATTAGTTGTTTTAAAAATACATTTTCACAGAAACACAGCAACTGATGAGAACAGATAGTGCTAGAGCTGAGAAACTGCCTGTAAATAAAATACAGCGACAGACTTGGTTTTCTGTGCAATATGCACCCAGCTCTCAGCGAGCAACATCTAGATGAAGCCTCCAGCCCTCTCTCCCCCTCTCCCTGCCCAGCAGCTGCCACACACTCAGTGTTTCCAGAATACCACTGAAATATCTTTGCAGCTTCAACTGCAGTTTAAATTAAATCAAATGCTTCGAGAAAGCCCTCCCAAAGCCTGCTGGTGCTTTGGGTAGAGCTGGGGAAGTGGGCAGGAGCCCTCTCAGTAGACTTGCTGGGCATGACCCTCCTGGGGAGCTGAACAGCACGAAGCCCACTGGGTTTCTTGTTTTCAGAGGTTATCATTGATTGGGTCTGAGTTCAATAAGCCAAAGTAGACTATGACTGATCTCTTCTCATCACTTCTGAGCACCGCCAAGGAGCGCCTCTCCCTCCTGCCTCCCACCCTCAGAACCAATCTCACAATCCCCTTTGGATTATCTTGCTTTAGCACTCAATAACACCACCTTCCTTTCTCAATAATTAGTGGCTTTTAGCTATTTGATGTAATCTACAGCTCTCTTGTCCAGATACATGCTTAACGTTTGGGTCATTTAAACAACACAGTGAGAAAAACAATATTGACCTGTCAGTTTTAAGTACTTTCTTCAGTCTGTTTTATTTATTTCCAAGGGAAAAAATATAATCAGGAACTACTAGATTACCTGGCAAGGGAACGTTCACTAGCAGGAGAGTAAACCAGTGTGGCACAACAGTCCATTTTCTGTTTAGCCACAGGGCAAGGTTTGTTTGGGAGTTTCATTTTTATAAAAGCAAATGCTTTATAAATGAAACCAAAACTCTTCCTGGGGGCAATCACTGCTTCACAGTACCTCCAGAGATATCCCTCCATCTTCAATGTCCATTCAGCAAACTCCTAAAATAACTAAAAATCACAGAACACTTCCCCCCACCTCTTTTTTTCCTGCTTCCCCCACCTTTTTTGAAGGCTCCTGACTTGCCCACTCCTCACATCATTCTTCAATGCACAAACCACCCAATTTTCTCCCCTCTTGTTAACCTGATTCCCCAGTAACTGCAAACACAGTCAGAAGCCCAAGAACAAGAGGGGGAAAAACCCTGCACAGCCCTCCAAATTAAGGCTTTCTCCTCTAACACGAGGTGGTCCCTTATCTTTGATTCTCACAACTAAGAAATTTAACCAAAGCCAGAAAAAAATTTATTCCTGCTGAATGTGGAAGCACATGAAATTAATTCTGTGCCCTGCATACCTGATTAGGTTCACCACTGGCACAGCCATGAAGCCAAGGGCAGGAGTGTTTTTGAAGCCAGGTTCAGTAATGTGATACTATAGGTTTGGGAGTTTGTCGTCATCTGCTGAGACTTGGATTAAAAGCCCTTGCTACAGCAGTGAAAATAGCTTAGATAATTCAGGCACAGGCTAGACCCATGTAAGAAAGGAAGGGCAAAAGTCTTAAGAGTCAGTTCTGAGATTAAGTCAAACAAAAAAGCAGGCTAAAGTAATAAAAACAAATTCCCTGGATTGATCTAGCTTTATCTTTCAGTGTTTGTTTTCACAACCTGAAGGTCACACACACGTCTTTCCCCACCGCACCCATTTGACAACCAACAAGACCTTGAACATTGCTTCCCCCCCGTAATAGATCCTCCAAAATGCCATGCTCAGTGATCAAAGAGCTGCCTCTTTCATTTGTCCGTGTTACAGCACGCAAGAACAGGGGGGAGAAAAATAAAGAACGTGTTGCTTTTACAAAATGCCAGTGAATTCCCCAGCCAACTACCTGGACAGCACAGAACAGGTAGCGATGGGGGTTTACAGTAAACTGGGAAGTGTTCTGTAATCACATCATCCTGAAACAGATATTTAAAAGAACAGATGGGCAAGTTTTCTTTTTTTTTCTTTAAAGTCCGAAAAGAAAATGTCTCAAGCTCATTTGGACAGTGACATATTACTGATGAACCCACATTTTCTAACGGGGCTGAAAAAATATCTGGAATTTCTGTTTGCGATGCAGCACCTTCCAAGCAGCTACAGAAGCTCTGGAAATGAGGTTTTTGAGCTTGCTTTCCCTGTGAAGAAAGTCTAGAAATGCTGTTTGACATTAGCAAAGGCTTCAATTTCACTGTTTCTTGCCAACAAAGCAAACTCTTAAGTGCCAGCACTTCAAGTGCAGAAGACTTTGCTGGAAGAGATTTGCAGATCACAGAAATAACACAAATGCAAGTCAAGCGCAGCAGGGTGAAAAGACAGAAGGTATCTAATGATACTTGTTGAAATGTAAATGGCTTAACTTCTCTCCTCCTTGGATTACATCACACAGAGGCCTGAGCTTACCCAAGTGAAAATACAGCCGGAGAAAAGCGTTCCAACAGCCTTGTAACCAGCAAAGAGCTGGAAAGCAAAATTCATCCCAACACAAGGATATCACAGGAACACAACTCACCAACACACCTCTATCTACAGTTCTGAACAGCGGGTCAAATGACTCAAAAACAACAACAAAAAAAGTTTCACATTTCAGAATGAGAAATACTTTGAACAACAGGTCAAATGACTCAAAAACAACAACAACAAAAAAGTTTCACATTTCAGAATGAGAAATACATCTTCAGAAGTCATCGATCTGCTTATCTTTCTAAACCACCCAAAGCTAAGTTTAACCCAGCTGAAGCAACAGCCATTATTCACTCAGCCCAAGTTTCAAGCAATTAAGAATTCCTTGTAGGGAAACGTATGTAGGCAACAATAGCAAGCACTGCTTGTAAACTTTCAACATTTAAAAAAGCAGTAATTGCAAAGAAAAAAAAAACAACAACAAACACTGTACTTACTGGAAAGGACCGTTGTGAGGAAGATGTAGTCAGAAAAAGAAATGAGTCCACATTCTCCAAGGGCATAAAATATGCTGTCTTCATCAGCAAACTTCTCCCGCTCCTGGGATAATTTCTATTTATTCATTCGACCCACACCCCAAAAGAGAAAATAAAGCAATCGATTAAATACAGAAAAGGAAATTAAATTTATTTGTATCCTTACCACCAACAAGCCATTCCATGTACACACACCCCTACTATCTCCACTCATATTCAGCGGACCTTTTCCAGCCTTCAAATCCATCAGAAACGCTCTGCAAAGATCAGTGCTCCCCCGTCTCAAATGAGGGATAAGGATTTGCACAGTACTAATTAGTTGGCTTAGCCTAGCTGAAATACAGATTAATAAAACTACGTCCGTTTTGCTTAAAATTGTCTGAATCCGAGAGATTAGCATTACAAAAATCAGATTTTATTTAATATAGGATTCAAAAATGAAATGATTATATTTCACTAATAGTGTTTTAGTTATACTCTGTTGCAGCAGTAGCCAAGAAAGAATTATTTCACATGAATATAAAGTAGGATCAAAGTTATCAAAAATGTGTAGTTATCAGAAGTACAGGATTCTGGAATGTGTTTAGCAAGCTCACTAGGAGGACCGGGACTGATACCAATCTCAATCTCTCTCTCTCACTCCAGTTCTTTTTCAACATCTTGTTTTAATGGAAAATACCGCATGTATTTTATCAGCTCCTATCCCTTACTAAGCTAAAAATCTGAGCCCCTTTGATCCGCAGAACCTTCAAAGACTGAAAAGGATCCATAAAACTGTTAGGAAATCCACACCGGTGACCCATTTTAAGAACACAGCAGGAAGAGGCACACGCATACACCAAGGAAAATGAAATTAATGTAAAGGAGAATAGGCGTGGATGAGGTTATTCCACAGAACCCAGGTCATGCAAGCACAGAAGCATGGTGAAGGCAAGGCTGAATTTAGGAATGGTTTTAGAAAAAAAAAAAAACCACTGACAAACACCACCACACAAGGGTCCAGCTACACAACTGTCCCCCCCCGTTACCTCTGTCTAGCGGAGATCCCATCATATACAAGACAAAGGAAAGAAAACTGGTTAACTGACAATAAAATAAGCAAGGCACAACATTACATCAAGTTGAACGGTTAGACTTGCGAAGAGCAAGAAAGGTTTTGAAGCAACCAGGTGGTTGCTTGGCCTGGGGGCTGCTAAGAAGCCTAAGTAGACATCCCAGCAAGAGTTAGCATGGAGCCTCTCCGGGTGAGACCCACGGTCTGCAGCTGATGTCTCTCATCCACCTCAGGTTTTATTTGGAGAGAACTCACCATTGCATGGGACTGCAGAGTGGGGATGAGCTCAGCTAATAATTTAGATGAAAACTTAACCCGTATCTGGCTCGGAAACCACAAAAACAAAGAGACAAAAATAATCATATAGAGCACAAAAAAAATATATACAGTTTTTAGGGGAAAAAAGTTCAGCTCTATTGATCAAATAAAACTCTTCCCAGTAGTTCTGTCCTTACCATCTGGAGAACATCAGGAATTTAATAAGAGGCGAATCACTAACAGCAGAACATGCTAATGGCATTCACTTCAGGCAAAATAACTGTTATTTGTGCTTACGGGATACCAGGTTGAAGTATCATTACTGGAAAAAAAAAATAAATGGTTTTGCTTCCTTTCCCACTGAGATGGATCTGAAGCAAAGTTACACTGATGCTTATATTGAGGACAAATAAACAAGGTCTGGTTTTCCTTTAAACTGAAGGGAAGATTTGTAAAGAAAGCAGTTTCCTGTGATTGCTGCCAGTGGTGTTGCCAGCAGCATCTCCCCTGCTCGTGTGATTTATTGCCTCTTCCTCCGATTGCCCGGCTTCAGCAGCGTTTATCATAAACCAGCTATTAGCATCCTACTTCAGCTGTTCAAAGGAGCCCATGAAAAAGTTCCAGAGGTTGGTTTATTAATTTTTATGGGTTTCTTTTCTGCACTTAAAATTCATAGTCGGTATCAAACGGCTCAAAATATTCCTCATAAGCTCAAAACCACATCCATAGACTAACAATAAATAAAAAAAAAAGAGATATTGAGTTGCTCTCTGAAATAACAAAGATGTAGACAGACAGGAGGGAGAAGCATTTACTCATTTGCATCTTTCTTTGAGCAAACGAAGTAAAATTAGTTATTTATTTATTTTAAATAAGCATCTACTCATCAGAAACCTGGGAATGGGGAGCACACGCTGGGATTGTGGTGCTCAACCTGCCTGCAGCTCACAGAAAAGGGAATTTCTCCTGCTGATCTTAATAGGAGAAAATAACAAACTGACCCAATCAATAAGATTTTAAGGCTCCCAGTGCTAGGAGGACAGAAGTTTAAAAAAAAAATTCATAACTCTTCCACTTATTTTATGCTGGCTCACTGAGAAGCTGCACATTTGTTTGCTTTCCACAAAGTATGACAGAAGCTGGTTCCACTCCAGGAGAGGCTCAAAACATGCTTTTCAGGGGTCGTGCCCTGCCATTAAACACTGTATTCTACAGAATTATATTAAAATCTCCAGGAAAAAATAACATTAAATAAATTAATCTGCCTACTTTACAAGGCACAATGCGGACTGTTGTCATCCCTCAAAGCACAAGGTGGAGAAACCCAAGGGGAGTCCCTAAAATCTCTGTCTATAGACCTTCAGCTTCTTTTCCACACTCTTCTTTCAGCATTCTCTGCCATCCTTGCAGAAAGGTAATGCATGGGATCAGAAAATGTTGGGAAAAATCCCTTTCCAAGCCACCATCCTGTTTTAGAGACATGTCCTCTTCACACACTAGTTACCCACACGCTTTCAGGCCAACTTTCACATCTCACACCCTTTCATATCCGAGCACGAGCTAATTCTCAAAGTGTTGAGATAAAACAGTCAAAAGTCTTCCATTTAAGAATTTTTTTTTTTTTCCATGTAAAATCCAGTCTCAAACCCACAGTAATTAAGATCATTCAGCACACCCCGAACCATTCGACACCGAGTGTTCACGAGTGAGCAAGCCACGTGGAACAGTCTACAAGTACAATGTGTTTTTTAAAAAATCAAGCAGTAGATTCATATGAACCAAGCACACAAACAAGCACACATCCAAATCAGCACGGAAAAAGAAATCCAAATATACCACTGCTTTCAGCATGAGCATGGCAATGTAATTTCAGTGAAAAGCTGCCAGTCCAGTCTCAGTGGAATAAAATTTTTTACAGGCATTCAGGCAGATTATCTTATGATACCAGACATCGACAACAAGTGGAAAAAATAAATAATGTGTTTAAAAACACAAAGCTTGGCTGCTCCAAGCCCAACAAACAGCACCAGGATGTGGGTTAAACACATCCATAACAGTGACCAACCTCCCCGAAACCCGTGTGTTGTAGAAAACAAAGTTGCATGCCCTATGACTTGTGTTACAGGGCTGGATGCAAACAAGGCGACCAACCTCCCCGAAACACGTGTGTTGTAGAAAAATAAGTTGCAAGCCCTATGACTTGTGTTACAGGGCTGGATGCAAACAAGGAATGCACCCAAATATACATGGCAAACTTCACATATTTTACCCCAAAACTGATCCAGAGCCGGAGCCTCCCTTCTACATGGTACAGCTCCCTGGTAACAAAGGATTTGGGGGGAAAAAACCCCACTGACTCCTTCCATTCCTTGCCAAATATTACCTTAATGCCAAAACTGATCCAGAGCTGGAGCCAAGTACATGGTACAGCTCCCAGGTAACAAAGGATTTTGGGGGAAAAAACCCTACTGATTCCTTCCATTCCTTGCCAAATATTACCTTAATTTTGGATTTTAAAATTGTTTTCCCAGGACTGAGTGAAAGAGTGAAATATGTTAATACTTCTTCATGCAAATCAGATTAAAAAAATGTGTTTCTGCAAATTAAGGGATGCCTTCTCTGCAAAAACAGAGACTGACAGAAGGTGTGGTGCTGGTGTTTGCTCTGCATTCCTAACACACATTTAGAAAAGCCTTATCAGCTAAATCCTTGCAGCTCCACGTCATTTTGCATTTCAGGAACTCCATAATGAGCAGCATTTTAATTTGTGCTCCAGGATGAACACACTCTGGGTAAGTCACTTCGAGTTGACAGTTTGTGTTTCAATCTGGAGCAGCAAACACACTTCTGGCATATTTATTCACTTAACTTATGTTTCAACATCACCTTTGTACTTATGGGGAATTTATCAGCCTTTTGTGGCCACTCGACAGTGACTTACGCCTCCCGAAATGACAACAACATAAATATCAAAGTGCATGCAAGATAATGAGTATTTCTCCAGAACCAGAAAGCAATTTTATAAATTAGTGAGGAATTTTAGATGAAGCATAACCACCTTTTATTGACAAATGGCACCGTACTCGGTTTCTTTTTAAAAGACATACTTTAAGGTTACCAATATTGTGTGAGCAAATACAAAACCACGAATGTTTCAGTGAAGTCACCTTGCTGCAAAGCAATTCTCTTTCAGTCCCAACTGACCACCTTCAGTTACACAAACTGTTTAAAAGACATCTGTTAACATATTTCTTTTATGGTTAGCTGTAGGCATAGAGGACAGTAAGTTAAAACGTTCTATGTTCAGTGTTAAAAAGAAATATTCTCTTTTCACAATAGGAGCATTCAAAAAAAACCCAAACTATCTGTGTTAAGTTGGCCTAATAAAGACAATTTCTTTCCTTGTTTCAGAGTTTTCTGGCTTTATAATCTAAAGATGACCCTCCATATTATTGCAATCTTGGGATATGTGTCTCTTTACAAATTAAATCCCTCTAATAAAAGGAAAAGAGCCCCACTTTAGTACTTGTGCACATAAGATTAAGCAGGACACATAGACATGATGCACTATTAGTCCTGCTCGCACATGGCTTGATACCTTGGGCTTAAATCAGTAGAGAGCACCCCTATAAATAAAAAAAATATATATTAGGAATCCTTCTAAGGATGGGAAAAGAAATCTTACATAAAATTTATTGGACAATCTGTTTAATTAATGTATTTTAAACACTCTTTAGCACCTACTAAGCATATTGTTTGACATCTTTACACAATCTTAGCTTAGGAATCCTTCTAAGGATGGTAAAAAAAATCTTACATAAAATTTATTGGACAAACCATTTAATGAGTGTATTTTAAATACTCTTTAGCACCTACCAAGTGTATTGTTTGACATCTTTACACAATCTTAGCCATGAGCCATCTCGTTAGCGCTACACAAGATGAAAATGTGCAGCGATGCGGCTCCTATTTGCCTGGTCCACCAGAGCCTGTAGCATGTGCCATCTCGTTAGCGCTACCCAAGATGAAAATGTGCAGCGATGTGGCTCCTATTTGCCTGGTCCACCAGAGCCTGCAGGACAGCATCGTGCTGGCATGGACTACTACAGCTCCTTCCCAAGCAGAACTGTTTAAAATCTGGAGAAATATATATATCAGCAGACTCACTAATGCGTTTGCAGCAGATGCTCTGCATTACTCTGTCACACAGGGCAGATAAGGGAAAATCTTTAAGAAGCACCAGTTTTAGCAATGCAGCCCCCTATGGCAACTAAAATTATAACCATTTTGAACTCTGCGTCAAAAAGCTGAACTGGAGGCTGTGAAATGAGGGAGACTTTTAATTTTTTCCTCCTCTTTTTGAAGATACGAACTTTAAAGAACCAAAGCCACGTATTTGGAGATTTTATGACAACTCACGTCGGTACCTCACTACCTACATTAAGAAAACTGAAATAAAGAAATAGAAAGGCTTTCAGAATCAGATTGGAAAATTAGGCCTTTCAGCCCACATGTTCACAAGCCCTTTAGGGAAAGAGAGGTAGGGGAGGTCCCTCCGGGCTATGAAACAAGGACAAAAAAAAGAACTTGGGATAGAATTGAGGGATGTGGAGTTTTTAAAGCTAGCTTTCTAATGTCGATGCAAAATAAGTTATTTTAGATGCTCTCCCTAGGATTTTTTTTATATCACTTTTTATATATCACTGAGTAAGAAAAAAACATTTAAGGTTGTGATAGAAACAGCATGGGGACTTCTTGAAGCTCATAAACCTCTTTTTGCAGTGGAAACATTCACAGTATCACTCCTAATCACTCTAGATAATTTACTATGAAGTCTACATACCAACCCAGGCAAATGCAAACATTCTGCACGGCACATCGTGGGGGGTGAGTGTTAGCACAGGAAAATGCTTAAAAACCTCTGTCAGCAGACAAACACTGCAGCTTATGACCTTTCAAGAGTATATCTTAATGAAGAGTTTAAAACCTCTGATTTGGGGTTATATAGCTGTATATATACACAGGGGGAGAAAAATACAGAGCTGGACACAGATGAAGTTGTTCCACACACTTACTCCCCCTGAATTTGAATTTGGACACGTACAGAGGACCAAAAATTAGGCAGCATTTATTACTACAGGTGGTCTCCTGAGACTGGAAAGAGAAACCTGCATTCCTTCCTTCCAGGAAGGCTGTAAATATTCAATCACCTTTAAAACAAACGGCACCTGAAATGCAAGGCCAGCATTCTGTACGACCGAGAAAAATAACAACACAGACTTTCCCCGACCCTTCGCAGGCAGCAGACCCACTCATGCAAGGGAGAAAACCCTGCTGGAAAAGCAAATAGGAAATGCTTCAGAAAAGGGACAGTCTATACTTCTGCTCCCCTCTGCTGCGCTCAGTCCTCCGCAGGGTAATGAAATCACAATCTGTAGGACCACAGCGGCGTCCGTAATGGAAATTTGATGTGGGAGGATTAACATTAGGCCCCTGATGTCCCAAATCGGGCTTCAAAAATGAGTTGACTTCTGACACCTTTGAATTTAAATGGCTGTTTGAGTCTCCCGATGGAAATGGGGATACTGCTTTCCCCTCATCTCAGCCCGCATTACCAAGATGAACTCGTTATGTTGATAGTGCACGCTGATGGTTTCCTCAGATAAGAATTCCAGTGTGAAAGTACACAAGGAAAATAACTATTCTGTATAGAAAGCAAGTATTAAACATTGGCTGAGATGATGAGGTTGGGGCCATACACTTGGCACTAATCACCCACCAAATGAGAGAGAGGTATGGGGAAAACCCACATGTAACCATGTAATTAGAGATTGTCATCAGGATTGGAAATGGTTACAGAACTGAATTAAGATATAACTAAGATTCTTGCCACTCCCTTCCACTCTCTCTCATTCCTCCTTTCTTCTTCACCTGCTTCTCCCATCCACCCCTCCCCTCCTCCTGTAGTCGGTGAGGTGAAGCATATCCTAAAACATTCCCTCCCACCCTCAATCCATCCTCCTTCCCTCTCCCCTTCTCCCTACTAATCCCATGTTACCCAGGGACAGAGTTTTCAGAGCTGTTTTGTATCCCTTAAGTATTAAGCATTAATCTAATGCCAGCAAAACTATAAAAGATATTAAAGCCAAAAATGATCCCATAAATAACTTTCTGATTAAGACTGCATATACCCACTAAGGACACTTTGTCACAAAGCTGCTTATTTTTCCCTAACTTCCCCTATGGATTTCCTTAACATCACAAAGTTGCAGGGCAAACAAAACATTTCGAGCACATTTCCCTCTCTACTTACTAATGCTGACTCAACTTCCCTCTGCTTTGTAGTTCCCTTTCCTAGAAACCATCTTATGAACTATTAGCATCTAACTACCTTCTTTCTAAAAATATTCTCTAGTGTAGCTCACCCTACATGGTTCTGTAACTTGAAAAACTCAAAGTTTGCAAAAATATCCTCCCTTAGTGTAGTTCACCCTATGTGGTTCTATAACTCGAAAAAACTCAAAGTTTGCAAAAATATCCTCCCCCTAAACTAACACGCATTCAAATACGTGATGTTTCCCCACAGCATTTGGCCAGAGAGACGCCTGTCCTTTCTCACAGAATAAAACTATCTTCATGGCCTTGAGCAGAAAATGCCATTTTCTGCCAGAGCCAGCTCTATCGCAGTCTCATCAAGCTGAAAAATAAGTCAGAAGCCTCAAAAGATTCTGTGAAAACAGGAGGACAGGGAGACATACATCTGAGCTCTGCTCAGAGATGTTCCCTTAATAAAGCCATGTATTAACGGTCACCCTGAGGACTGTACTCTTAACATGCCAAACTCAAGTATTTTGCAATAAATCCTTTAGGTTGAGGATCAAGGAAAGGATTCAGGATTATTTATTAAAAGAGCAGGGGGAAAGGGTGAGCATACACTGTCCCTTTTACATGAAAAGTGCGTATTATGAGGTCTGAAGCACAAACCCATCAAAGCACATGCTGTCTACTTTGTACCTGCCAGAAATCCTGGTGGAAGGGGAGAGGGTTAAAAAAGGGAAGAAAAGGAGGGAATGCTTGGTTACACCAAAGAACCAAACCACAGTTAGAATAAAGACACAGGTATCAGAGATATTAGTAGCTGGAAGAAACACCCGCCAGGCACCTAGAAACCAGAATCAAAGAGGACACACAGCAACCAGAGCAGTTTAGTAGTGCCTGCCAAACGAGCCCTGTGAAAACGAGCAACAGAATTAGTGATACAGAAAGAAAACAGCAATTAAAGATCTGTCTAAAATGAAATACACGACAAATGCTTGGTAGAAGAGGTAGGAAAGGACGAAGCGTGTTCTGTACATGGACCTAAAGCAACGCACAAGGATGCCCGTGCGCCACGCATTTACCTGTGCTAGAAGCAATTAAGTATTTTCTTTGATTAAATTTGGTTTTATTACAAAGAAGCCAAAGAGGAGAATTTGCAGTTCAGTGCCCACGCAGGTCCCAGCAAACAGGGAAAAGCCGTGAGGAACACAGAAGTATATTAGGAAAAATGTTGAGAATGAAAGGGTTCTGAAGGCTTGGAATGGGCTGCCCAGGGAAGGGGTTGAGGCCCCATCCCTGGAGGGATTCAAAAGATGGGTTGACCTAGTGCTTAGAGACATGGTTTAGTGATGGGTTTTATCAGAGTGAGGTTGATGGTTGGACTAGATGATCCTAAAGGTCCCTTCCAACCTGGACAATTCTATGATTCTATGATTCTAACTCAAATTTGCAAACTAAAGCAGAGGGGAGGGCCAAGTTTGGCTGGCAGGAGAAAGCCAGCAAGCAAAAAAACGCCCAAATGCGGACAGTGGTGTCAGCAAAGAAAGTCAAGAAGAGAAAAATCATTTCACCTCAGCTCGGATTTGCTGATTGTCCACTATAAACTGCATCTCTGCTTGCTTCCACAAAGGATCACAGGCAAGAATTATCTCCTGCCAGTTTGTTACGATGCTTTTGGGGATGGCAGAGGAACTTGTGTATAGATGAGCCTAAGTTTATTACCTATGTAGGAAGATGCCTCCAGGTTATCAGGTAAAAAACTATCTGCAGGAGGATCAAAAGCTGAAGGAATTCAAAGCAGAAAATCTGAAATTAGACAGAGATGTTTTAGCTGGATTCTGGACCAGGAGAGCCAAATGCTTCAAGATATCTCCAAGCAAGCCATTACTCAGACACAACAGCTCAAACTGCTGACACTGGGGACTCATTTATTTCAAACGCTCTTACAACAGGCATTGGCAGGACCTTGTATAGTTGGATTTAGAGGACTCCTCACCTGCTTTCATTGCCTCTAAGCTACAGAAAGTACTGAGTATCCTCAGTAAATCAACTGCACATGCACTTTACACTGCTATCTACTGAATTGCAATAGCTCGCTTTTGTTAAGGTATCATTTAGAGTTGCATCCTTTTGAGTTAAGGTTTCAGAGGAACATCACAGGAGCTCAGATCCAGTGTTTGACTCCTGAATGACAGCAGGAGTTTGAGCTTGTCTCGCTGCAAAGCTTGGGTCTACAGCAGCTTACGCCGCTCTGGTGGAAGTCTCACACTCCAGCCTTAGCTGGAGGACACCAGAAATTCAGACTTATCCATAAAAGCTCCTTTTCCCACTCCATCTTTCAAACCTGACAGCAAGGTCCTTCAATCCACCAAAAAAGAATGGTCCATCTGCCCCCAGTCCTTTCCATGGAGAGCACTCCCAAGTACAATTTTTCAGGCTCCTCTGCTCCCGAGATGCTTTTTAAATCACCTGGCAAGAAATCTTCCTCCTGAGCTGACTCCCAGCAACTCTTCTTTAACAGACACACACATCCAGTTCCAGGGCCTTGGCAGATAAGTGCAGTTTAAGCAAATCACTGTACTGGTCCATGATCCAAGCCCGCATTACACAGTGGAAATGAATTTCAGACGTTTTACTGGCCCTTACAGAAACTATGGGAAATATGTTCCTTTCCCTTCGTTTTACTACTGCTCTACAGCATCCCCAAACATCTAGAGATGTAAACATAAATGCTGGCAGGAAATACTTAATTCATAAATTTAATTAGAGGGCATTGAAAGCCTCTATAATTACTTACTGCAGCAAGGGTAGCAGGAGGGTAAGCTGTTGCTGGTAGCTCGAAGGCTTTTGTTCACTTTAAGCAGCAGCAAGAAATTTTCCCCACAGGAGAACAAAAAGAGCCAGCCAAGTGTATTCGGATTAAACTAATAAGCAATCTAAGTGTGCTTTCTTTTTTTCCTAAACAGGCCAGAGGTGTCTTAAAAGCACTATATTGTACCTTCGGTGTGAGCACCCAACCGCACAAAGACAGCTCTACGCTGTGCACCCACAGCATCCATTTCTGCCTCTGCTCCTTTCCCCCAGGCTGCCCTGCCAAAAGCTCAGCTGCAGGACTGTTCTGTTCTCTGCAGGACTGTTCTGTTCTCTGTTCCCTGCTCCAGCTCACCAGGACAGGGTCTGCATCAAAGGACCCAGGGGACAGGGCCTGATCGTGCTCTGAAGAGCGTGGATACACAGCTCACGCTTCAGAGAAACACCACTAACAGCCTTGCTTGCTTTTTTTTTCCTTTGGGAGATTAAGCTTGTCAATCATTAATGTCTAAGTCGAGTAAACGGAGCATGAAAAAAGAAAATCTTAAAGTCTGTATTACAATCTATGTAACGTTAATAAAGCTTATGCCATGCTACAAGTGCTAAGATACACACTTGTATTTAGTGAGAGGTTATTCATCACTGCCTTCTTGCTAAGCAAGATGCAAACAAAATGATGAAATCCTACAATCCCTCAGTTTGAAAGTCGGAGGGACTGTGAGTCTTCACAGAAAGAACACCTCCACCTTCCTCTCCAACGCGCTCTCTCTTAAGCCTTAATGAGCATTAAGCATCAGGGGAACAGCACGTCTTCAATTAAACAGGACTTCACTCCTCCTAACCAGAGGGATGCTCTTCAAGATGGTAGGATGAAAGAAGGGACACCAGGAGGTATTTCTCCTGTGGCACTGACATGCAACAGTGCTTTGCAGATAGATTTGCTTCCCCACAGCCAAAACCCTTTCCTTTCCTCCTCCCACAGAGAAGGAAAGGGACATGGTGGAAAAGGAGCAGATGAACAGTCATGGTCTGGACACCTTCACACCACAGCACCCTGAGCTACACATAAATTGGGTGTCTATTCTCACATCAGCCCTTTGTTCAGGCTCAATATCAACTTGCAGACTGACTAATATTGTTTTTTTCCACTCTGAATGAATAGTAACCAGTGCCTCTTTTCCTCTACTTTCCAGAGCTTGCTGCCCTGGGGGAGAAACCACCACACTTAGACAAAAATGGAGCCAGGGAACGAGTGGCCTCCCTACACTCTCAGCCCAGCAGAAGGGCGAAGAAAAGTATGAGCTTATGTTGACAAATAGATCTGAGCAAAGGGGTTTTGCTGGGTTAATGTCTCCAGGGCTTTTGGTCTCTCAATGAGTGAAGAAAATGCATTTAGGCTCCAATTACAGGAGCATTGTTCCCATTAATAAGGCAGTAGCATTTACCTCCCTCGCCATCAGCTCTATAAATTATCACTAGGAAGAAGGAGGGGCAGGAAAAAAAAAAAAGTGGGTATTGTCCTCTCACCATAACATTTAATCACATGCACAGCAAGATACTTCAGAAACCTGGCACAATTACAACAGAGGCACATCACAAAATCCTTTGCAAGACCAGTGCCAATCACCACATGGCAATCAATTAGTTGTTTTGATGGTAGTTTCACATAAAATTGGTTGTGTGAGAAGAGCAGCTCATACATCTGCTTCCCAATGTTGTTGCTTTTAAATCTCCAACATACATGCTCAAGATTCACACCGATACTTTAAACATTGTCCTGTAATATGTAATTAAAATGCAACTGACTGCACAGCTGGTTCTATTCTTTTAACTGAATCTCCTTCTAAATTATTACTTAGAGGCAACCCCTGGTATACATCTTTACTTGGAACTAAAATTAGTTCTCTCTTCTGCTTTTTAGCCAGGATGTAGCCTGCAGATTGTCAGTACTTCTCAGTACTGCAGCTCACTTGTGTCTGACTGTTCACAAACTCCTCTCACCTTAAAAATGAAGAGGAAATTTCCACTGAACAGGTCTATTACTTTTTGAGTCCTATTACCTCTGTGCGATATAAGGATGCTTGGGGGAACGATGGACCTCTCGCCCTCCTGCTTGAGCTCATCAGCTCCACCAACACACATAGGGAAAGCACCAGAAAGTTGTCTCCAGGCAGAGGATGCTTTGATAAGCCAAGAAGAAACCATGGTTGGAAACAGGCAAGGAGGAAGGGATGGGAAAGGGTTTTATCCCTCGGGTGCTGCTATGCAAGTGAAACTCAAATTAGTAAAGTCAGCTCTGCAGCACCCAGTTGGTGCTTGACTGAGTAAAGACAGTTTGATTTTTAAACAGAAACCACCTGGACATAACCAGTGCCCTGCCAGATTTAGCCAGTTCCAAGGTGTCTTTAAGCAGACAGCCAAGCAAACAAGAGCCTCTATTTCTTCATTTTCAACAGAGCAAACTGCTTCAAGGGTGTTATTAGATTGTGGGGAAAAAACGGGTCCCAGGAGAAGATAACAATAAAGAGAAGTTGACTGCAGTACCCTAAGTCACTGTCAGACTATCCAAACCACAGCACGTAGACATCCAAGTGCAGCACCAACGTCCATAAGTTATATAAAAAAAGCAATTTCACTCTGCTGCAGGTCAGAGCATTAAGGCAAAGGCTATCTGTTCTCCACCCTTCAGCCAGCACAGATGTTCACCACGCTGAACAGCAAGATCCTAAGAGCGTGGATGAGGATGCCCAATTGAACACCGACCATGGGTTTTCAACACCCCTGTGTGATGATTGTGTCCATCACATCCAAGCCCTTGGGGCTTTCTCTGCTGAGGGGCAGAGAAACAGAAAGCTGAGTTCAGGAACAGGGATTGCCTTTGGATCTTTTAGCCAATGTGATAGGAACCAGCCGTGGAGTGCTGAGGAACAGAGAAACGATTAGCAACAAATAGCCTGGGATTCAGCATTTTTTTCCCCCTACAAACAAATCTTGTTTATGAAAAGCCTAAGGGATGAATGTGGTAGCTTGACAAGATCAAATGATGAAAGTGAGAGGATGCAAAATAGACTGTCATAAACCAGAGGGAGAAACATTTGATATTTTGCAAAGAATATACGTACTTTTTTTTTGTTGAGGGTTTTTTTTTATATTTTGTTTGAACCAATAAAAGCAGACATTGCGGTTGTGGCAGGGGAGAAGAAAACAAGTGTTCACAACACGCTTCGTAGTTTTATGCATCAAAACTAACTGCCAAAATAGTACCTTCCAACTGTCTGTTTTCAAGCAAAAACCTCGCTCTGCTGCCTCGGTAACCAGAACACTTGCACATTGCTGATGACAGGGACCCCAGGTATTTGATCACCTTCTGTCTTTACCTTTCCCTACTAGACACAAAACAAGACAGGGAACCACATGTGTTCAATCCACACTGTTTATATAAAGCTTTAAAAGTTGTTTTTTTTTTTTTCCAGCACCCAGGCTTTCTGGAAAAGCCTGACTCTATGTGTCAGGTACATCACTCAGCAACAAAGGGATCAGATGCTGACTTCCCTTTGGAAAAAACCAGCAGCTTTACTTTCATATGATGCAGATGAAATGAAAATATTGCTAAAAGTTGGAGTACCATTATCCACATGGTGATATGATGGAAAATTAACTAAGCTGCAGTCATCTGCATCACGAAGTTAACACAAGCTGCTAGTCCTAGGGCCAGAGCTGCCTCTACTGTACTCCTCCATACCAATGGGATTTACAGTGTGGTTCATTTGGTCTCTGGTTTGCATAATTCCGCTGACACAGGCAGAGAAAACCAGATCAGAGCATCCTCAACATTTCACCAACACACATCACAACAGCACAAACATCCATAACAGTCGGGTACCACTGTAGGAAGGACCTAGGGTTCAAAAGGGGAAGGAATGAGGCGTATTGGATGGGGGTAGGAACACAGGCTGGGGATGCAGATAAAAGCATCACAAGAGCGTCTCCTTCCTTTAGCAATCTGGAGATGAGTCTGGAAAGGAAAATTAAGGGAGTTCCCACCAAAATGCCATAACTTCTGGGGCTCTCATACAGGCATAAAGAGGCAGCAAGGAAATGGGATTACAACCTATAATTTCCTGGCCTAACAGTATATAATGCAGCAGTATTTTGTCTGTAAACATTACAATAAGACTCCTTTAAAAGAAAAAATATCTTTTTCTCATTCACTGTCATTACATAAAATGCACTGCAATGCTATTAAACAACAAAAAACTCAGAAGAGAATACTTCAAATACTTCATTTAACTTATAGCCACGTGCAGGTAATAACTAAAGGAGTTTAGGTTAAAAAGGCCATTGAATAATATACACTTAATAGTTTAATGTGCTTACCTTCCCATCATAGCGTTTGACTATAAACTGATCCAGGCCTAGGTCTGAAAGAGAAAAGGAAAAAAAAAAAAAGATACTTTAAATAAGTGTTCTTAGAGTGCAAAAGTAAACATTTCTTGGGTTTTCTGTTTGAATGGGGATTAGAAAGCAAAAGGCACTGTCTGAATAACACCAGTAAAAAGTATAAGGACAGAGAAGAGAAATTTTTTTGGCTTCATGAATTTTGTACTTCGTATTTTGATCACAAAGACAACAAACTCATGGCATCAGAGAAGAAAACTTCCTTCTAGCAGTCACAACAGGAGCACAGCTCCCAGCATCTCTCAGGAGTCCAAAATATCCATCCCAAAGCAGAAGATTTCTGGGCTGTTACCAAGCAAACATTTCACCCGTGATGCCCCATGTAAATGCACGATAATAAAACTCTTACTGTTTTTAATAACACCTTTTGAATGGCTCACAAATGGGAAAACAAAGAGTTGTTCTTGTAAGTAATTGTGATATCCCCAAATAAATCCAGAATTTGTTTGCATTTTAGTATAAAATTGCTCGTAAATGGATTTCAAAGGAGATAGGTTGTAGCCACATTTGTAAGAAGGCAAGCACTTTAGCTAGATGGGCTTGCTGGAGAAAGGCAGGAGAGGGGGTTATTTATACTAATAAATTCCATCTCTCATACCATCACAAAATGGTTTTTTTTTTTATCTTGAAGAGAGGAAAACCAAATAAAAATCCCAGCATATGCAGAGTCAAGGCACAGAGCTCGCAATCTAATCCCCGATGTCTGGGAGGCAACGTGTACACTGATGAGTGCACATACAAGCAAGACGACAAAAATATTCAGGAAGATTAATTATCTGAGCTTTGCAATCCAAAACTGGGAAGATGCACCCTGAGAGGAGATTAAGTAGAACTCAAACCAAGCACTTCCAGTAATTTGGGAGAGCACAGGCCGGTTTTCAGTTCTCTGAAGAATAAAATCCCTCAGCAGAGATATGTCCCATGCATTTTCTGCCACTGTTTATGATAATTATCACATCCTCATTTCAATTTAAATTACAAAAAAGGTGGAAAAAAACAAAATAAAACTTCTCCCACACCTGCTCATGAAGGAGGATAATAAAACCCTTCTCATGAACGTCTGGAAAGGTTCACAGCAGTTACAGTGCAGAAAATGGAGTCTCTCCTGAGTGACCTCCTCAACCTTTCTGAACCAGAGCAGCAAAAACTCCTCTGTCATCAATTTCAAAGGTCAAGGCAATTTTCAGGGGGCTTTCCGGATTTCTGAATATTCAAGCCAGAAAGCACCTTCTCAATATTTTGTGCGCCTAAAACAGAGTGAAAATTGCATATTCATACGCATTTGCAGACTTTAATCATCTTCTTCTGAATTCTGTCCTCCTCAAAGCCGTGGGTACAAACGCAGCACAGAAAGTATTGTCACGCTTAGAGACAGGATTCATTTAAGGGATGTCCTTATTTCACCAGAGACACATTATCTGGTTGGAGCTTGCCCCTGACCATCTATCTAGACGCCGACTGCTAAGTTGAGCTTAGCTTATGTCCACGTGTCATAATAAAGTCATTTGTCAAGCACACCTCCTGGTCTCATGCCAGGGGATAGTGCTATATGACAGACCCCTGACAGCCCAATGTTACACACATACTCAAAAAAAACCTAAAAAGGGACACGGGTTAAAAATAGCACGTGAAAGGACATCTTAATGGCACCCCCCCAAACTCAACTGGACACTACTATTGGGAAAGCAAACGTGTTTCAAAGGAGACCTAAAAACAAATGAATGCTTTTTGTAGATGAACAGTAAGAAAAGATGAACTAAAAGCTGTTTTTTAAAAAAATATAAATAAATATAGAAAATAAATAACATATGTGTTTCTGAATACAGATAATAAACATTTATATAATAAATAATAATATATACCCAAGTCTGTACATATAGAGAAGTTATTAAAACCAGCCAAATGACACCTAAAAAGGAAGACTACCAGTCCCTACACAAGGAAGAGGCCAGTATTATAAACTTTATGCTCTCCACGGCTGTAACATGAGGTGGGCAAAAGGGGAGGTGATGGGGGGTATGACTGGAGGGGACTGCAAAAGCACCACAGAGTTAACAGCAATAAATTACAATAATGATGGGGTGAGCAAAAGAACCACCACACTGGTGAAATCAGTTCTGAATACAGGGGAGTTTGCCTTCAGATTGCTCCTGGGAGGGACAGAGTGATGGACCTCAACTTACATATGGCTTTTCTGCAACGGCATCCAAACCCTCGTGCCAGGTGTAGGAGCTGCCAGGTCTGTCCTCAAGCTTAATTGCTCTGAGCATTTCATTAGATGCTGAAGAAACTTCTTACAACACCGTAGCAGTTACAGAAATGTAGTGATCATTACCTATATCACATCAGCCTCCTTTGACAATTGCATCTGACGAGAAGCAAATCTATACCGTCAGCCTCCTTTGACACAATTGCATCTGACGAGAAGCAAATCTATAATCCTGGTTTATGGATGTCTCGGAGATCGGGGAGAGACACTTATATGAAATTACAGCACAAAAATGTGTCCCTTCTGCTGCTGCCTTTTTTCATGTCACCATCAGCATGCCTTGGAAGACAGCATTACCTACTGCAAGCACAAGCATATTAGTTCACATCAGCTTTTTATGCTCACCCTTTCTCCCAGCCACACACAATATCCTCTGCTCTGCTGCCTTAACTAAACTGCACACTTAAGCCCATCTATAAAATTCCCCTTACAACAGCTCCCAAGAGAATAAGCTAATTTAAAACCTGAAAAAAACCCATTTGTGTGTTCAAGCATATGGTATTACTTATTTTCCTTTTTCCAATACAGTTTATTTTCTTTTTTATGGACTTCACTAAAGACTTGTGAAAAAGCATGTAATCTTCAAAGTTGATAAAAGGGAACCAAGAAACTAGAGGTTGTCTGACACCTGTGTTCTTCTTTCTTTACATAAAAAACCCCCAAAAGGCTTTTCCTCCAAGACTTAACAATAGGAACAGCGTTTGTGTAGGCTGGAGAGCTAATGGAAACACGGCACGAAGGAGGGCAATCACGTCTGAACAAGGAAAGGAAAGAATGTTATTATATCTCTGTTATTCAAAGGGCATTGTGCTAAGTTAAAACTACCACAGGATGGTCTGTAAATGATACACTCATAAAACAAATATCCCCTAGTTGGGCCACTGCCGATGAGCTGCAGGAACACAAGCTAACAGGCACGTTTAACAGTAAAAAAAGAGCTTTTTCACCTTTCACTGAAAAGCAGGGGCTGAAGTACTATTCTGCCAGAAATGGATTAAAGGATTTCCTCCCAGGGAGAGAGCAAATTCAGAAATGGTTTCAGGAGGATACCTGGCTGCTTCACGAAGCCTTCCCAGGAACAAAAGGCAGCGTGACACACACGGCAGCTACTCCAGATTGCAGAGGGACCACCCAGAGCAGCTGGGCTTTGGGGTTTGCTTCTGCTCAAACCAACCCAGAGCTTTCACCACAACCTGCCCCAGAACATGCCTTTTCTTTACACTGCACACCACCTCATCTTTCACTACACATCTGGACTATCAAAGCCCCTTTCACTCACCCAGCCAAGGGCTCTGCACCAGCCACTCACCTTCTCAGCACCAATGAGGACCTGCAACCACTTCCAAATTTGCTTGCCGTAGCTAGTTGACTTTTAACCTTTAAGTACCACTATGTATTACTCCTGCAAATTCTGCTACTACCTAAAGGATGACCATAGGACCAAAAGAAACAGCAGCAAGTGGCATCACTGTCAGTGTTATTTCAGATTAGACTGACACTACTCGCTCACCAACACTAAAAGTCTCCACTTGTATTTACATGATGGCACCTCCAGAGCACTCAAAAAATAAAAGTGTTTTTTAAAAAAAAAATAATCAAAACTACTTTCACTCATTGCCTGCCACAATGAGGAAAAGAGGGTGTTCAACAAGAGAACCATATTCTGTGTTTACTTCTTTTTTGGCTTGTAAGGATGCTTTAATGGAAAAGAAATTATTTACGTAAAGGAAAAAAAGCACAGAATCACCTGCTGTTAGTCTTCTTCAGCTCTAATCAAATATAAAGTCAAATGCTTATTATATTTCAATTCTTTAACAAAAACATACATGCCACACATTCACTTAAAGCTAATTACCACACCTGATAAATATCTAGATAATTACTAAGCTCTTCATGTTATCCTGTAAAAAAAAAAAAAACAAAACACAGGCAGCAGATGATAGACTGCAGTTTTTAAAAAAATATTTAACAGGCTTCCAGAAGAATGACTGTATTATTCAAGAAAACAGTTGAGATCAATTAGAAACCATCATGAATTCCTCTGGGATGCCAGCAGTTTTCCACCTGATAGAAAAACCTTTTCAACTCCCTTCCAGTCTTTATATCCTTGTCAGATTTTTCACATTATTTGGGTAACATTTACTCATTGTCTGCCGTTCCTTTCCCGTTGCTTGATACATAACAGGGACTCTTTTTCTTTCAAGTAGGTGAGCAAAAAGGCTAATCACCAAGGACTGCAGAGCCTGCCAACCAGGCATACAACGTGCTACATTAACAGGAGGAGAAAATGCTGGACCAAGTTTTTCCCTCCAGAGCTGTAACCCTGCTTTATGCGAGTTATTTTCCCCTGAATTTCAATTGTAATCTGCTGCCTGAGATTTCTCAGGGGGCAAAACTCTCAGGTTCAAGTTCAGAACCATTTTGTCCAATGAACTACTTTGCTCTCATCTATCTCCCCCCCCCTCCATTCCTAAGAACTACAGATCAGCCATATCACCCCCTAATCTATACTGGAAGCCCTAATTATATGCTTCTTCTGATGACTATCTCAATGACATTATCATTATATTATATGTGATATGACATTTTCACAACATATGGCATTTCAATGCCCCTCTTGCTTGCTCCTCCTTGGCTTAGGTTCCTGGGGTCTCCTATCAGGCACGACAGGCTCAAAGACGACCCTTGCCTAGG